CCCTGCGCCTCCCTGCTCTGCATCCCTTTACGCAGGGACCGGAGCTTCCCAGAAACCACCCGAGTGCCGCAGGAGGGCGGGAGGGGACTGGCCGAGAGGAGCCTGGTTAGGGCCGCCAGCTCCCCGCCGCTCCCCTCGGACTCAGCTGGACCGGGACGGCCAGTACGAACACCACCCAGACTCAGAGGTTGAGCGTCGCCCAAGGGCCGGAGAACCACCGGGGCTGGTGCGACCGCAGACCTCCTGGCGCTGCCTCCACAGCTGGAGCTTCTGCTCCCAGTGGGCGCAGGAAGGAGGTGATTCTCTAGAAGAGAACCCGACGTCGGCCTGGACAGGCACCAAGACTCCAGGCCAGGAGGGACGGAGCTGGGGAGCAGGTGTCCACCTTCACTGCTCTCCACCTCAGCGGCCGGCCTGCACAGGACCTGGCCCATGCACCCGATTTTCCAACATCGTGCCCCAGTCCAACAGGTGAGCCTGCAGGGACCCACTGGTCCTGCACATAGACCCGATCTACCCAGGGCAGCCGCTCCTGCCCAGGGGCACAGCCCCCTGCAGGCACCACAGTCCGGACTCAGCAGGGTGGGCCCCTTGCAGGGTGTGGCAGGGAGTGGCCGGGCGGGAAGTGCTATGGGACTGGCAGGTTGGTGCCTCCTCCAGACCCTGCACTGGGTCCCCACAGAAGGCCCGCATCTCCTGCCTGTAGTCGCCAGGTCTGTGAAGTCTCCATTTTGGTCAGAGGCCCCTGCAGCCAGCACACAGCCCTTCATCTCACTCTGCACGTGTCACCCTGAGCTCAGGGCAGGGGTGTCAAGCCCTGGATCCCAGGGGGTGCTGAGTGCGGAGTATCGGCTGCTGTGGAGGCTACCGGAGAGGGGCCGTGACTGGGGAAGGGCAGGTGGGCAGCACGTGGAGGAGGCGGCAGCCCCACTCGCTAGGCATCTGGCTGGCCCACCGACAATGCCTTCATTATTCCGTGTCCGTAGTGATGGAATGGCCCTTGGAGCGCGGTTTCGGGGGTAGACCCATCAGGGGTCCGGTGCTGGGCTGTTGGGCTGGTTAGGGAGGGGCAGCTGGGCACTGTGGGAGCTTGGGGTGGGTCTCTAGAGGAACTTGGCACCTCCGGCCTGCACCACCCCTTGGGCCAGCAGCGCTTTCAGGAATGTGCTTCTGCTCTGGGGTGCCTGGACCAAGCCCCCCGAACCACCCATGAATGATGGCAGAGCTCCAGGCCCTTGACCCTCCCCTCCCCTCCCCTCCCCTGTGCTCCCATCTCTACGGTCGACTGAGGTCTGGTTTCTCAGACTTTCTTTTCCTCTGCCCTCCCCGCCCGCCTGCCACCCAGGTGGCCTCCGCGGGCCTCCACGCCCCTTGCCCTCCATTCCTCCCTCGAGGCCTTAAGCTCGGGCTTCTCTTACCCCGGGTCCCACCGAAGGTGCAGGCGGCAGCCCCGGTGGCCCCGGGTCTATTTTGGTCGCGCTCAAGCTCCGTCTCCAGGAGCATCGCTGCCACCAGTGGGGCAGGCGGGGCTCAGAGCTCGGCTGGAGGGGCTGTGGTGGCGCTCAGCCCTCTTCCTCTGCGACCCGGGAGCCTCCGGGC